AGTTTTTTGAACTCATAGTTCCCGAAAGGTAACATGGGTTTATTCAAACGGTAACAACCACAGGGTTTTGGACATCTCGGACAGTGGGATTTCCGTTTCAGGGGCCGAGAACGGTCCTATGAAACTGATGTCATCCTGTTGGGAACGTCGTGGGACACAGGTTATGAGTGGTGAGGAGTTAATTGACAAAAAAAATCAAGGACTTAGGTGAAAACAAGGTGCCAGTCGACAAAAAAGACTTAACTACTTCGCTTATGGTACCGAAAAGGACACGTTACAGGTGGTCGAAAAGTACAAAAAGCCGATTAGGCCCAAAGTAAACGCAAACGAAGGTAATCTCGGGTTAATCCATAGGGCCGACCGGTTTTTACTACACAGAGAAAATAAAGGGCGTTTATCAAAACGTACGTTTCGTACTTCTGTGATGAGACCCTACCAATATTGTATCCCGGTGGAGGGTGAACTCCGTAATTGAAAAGGGGCAAATGGTTCCGGAACGCGACTAATAAGACCTCTTCAATAAAAGGAAGACTACGAACATTGACCGGCGAAGACTCCGTCTTCCAGGTTCGAAGAGACAAACCTGTGTTTAAGGCCTGGGTAAAAAGCGAGGGGTCTCTCACCCTCTTCGGTGGACAGGCAAGGTAACACAACGGGTCTCCCTGGACCCAGTCAACGACCATCCAAGCAAGATCAAAGAGGACATAGGAGCAAAAAGGCGAACAGAAAGAGGTAGAACGAGATGCGCGCGGGAACCAGGGGAGGAGGTCTACCACTCCATAGCCGGGAGGGAGGTACATAAACAGGGCCAACGCAGGGAGGTTTCAAGAGCAAGCAGGGAAAGAGGTAGAGAGGTTGTTCTAATTGCAGGGAGGACAGCAAAAAAGGAGAAGGCGATGGAGTATTTAAAAGGCGATAGTCTGGGTCTGCCCCGGATGAACCGAAAGGCTTCCCGCGGCGCCGGCCGGTTGGCGGTCGTGGCGAGTCGAAATGTCCCTTTGATTAGACAGG